GTCTTCGAGACTCCTGGGGGCACCTGGAAAGGAACGGAGTAGTTAATACTACCGACCTCTTCGTGTTCCGCGTAGAAAGCGCTGGCTTGCACAGACATGATGTCTATCAGCGTCTTCGGGAGAGGCGAAAACAGGGTGAACTCGGCAGTGGATGACCAAAGGTGCAGCTAAGACCACACGTAGATTAGTCGCCTGTTCATAAAGAAACCTGGTCCGCGAACTATCGGCTCTATGCCAAAAGACACATTGCCCACTGGTGGCATACTAGAACCAATTCGAGGCTCATGAGGGGAAAACGGCTCCTATCAAGGCAGGTAGTACCGTAGCTTCTTGAATGAACCTGGTGTCCCCATTGTCACCATTTGGTGCCTTGGGTGAACCCGGAATGGACATCCTGGGGAGTTGGAACTGAAAGCCCAACTTGGATAACGCTCGCCCGAATTTAGGTAATGCTGGGATAGTTCCCTCGTGCCCCTGCACTGTCACGGTAATGTTGGACCCTAGACGTTGGTCAGAACCTTGACGATGACATGAATGATTCTCGGTTTTTATGTATCTTACCTGAGACACATTTTGATAGAAATTCTCGGCCAGCTTCTACACCCTTCTCGCCTCCTTTGGACGGCTCCCACATGATATCGACCTGAACTGTCGCATCCGCCTTTGAAGCCATCGCGATGTCTAGGGCCGTGATATGGGCGACCTTAGTCCCATTGTACAACATCATAAAGTCGGCGTAAGGTACTGAAGCTGAATATTCCGTGGGATTGGTGACATTCACTCTCGTTCTGACCAGCATGGAAGAATCGGTTGTATGTCCAACTTCGATGGACTCTAGCCGGGGCATCAATTCATCGATAGTGCCAGAGAACGGAGCTAAACAGCGATCGATCAGTGATCTGTCCCTTTCGGAAGTTATCCTGCCAATGTACTCACGCTTGACTTGAACGGCCCCCTCGGCCGGTATGCCTCTGACAGCAAACTGGCCAAGCTTCGTTGCGACTTCCGCATCGACCGCTGCAATGACACGTAGGTCAACCGGCTTCCCTTCAAAAATCAGAGATTGGAGGATTTCGGTCAAAGCATCTTCATCAGTAACCCTTAGCGGTGCATCTTTCATCGCGAAGGTTACGAGCAACGCCGGGGAACCGTCTGTATCATTGATACAACTTGCATTGGCGGGCTGCCACTTTGGAAGATTCATGACTCCAAGCTTTTTCCCATGGTAGAAGACATCGGCATTGGCACGAACATGTGGGATGTCTATGTGCAAGTTGATCTGCTCCGGCAATGCAACTAGCACCTTGACCAGGGCCGATATTCTTGGTTGAGATTCCTCTGAGTCTGGCTCACCGAACGGATCTGGAAGACTGAGATGCACGTCTGACATTGTGTAGTTCTTAACCAGGTTGTCCAGTGCATGTCCTGTAAAGGGCATTGGCACTGTCACACCCTTCAAGATGTCTGAAAGCCAGGGTGGAGTTTCTAGAGACGGGTTATCAGCTCCACGGATATAGACCGTAGTTGGGCGGCCGTTCATATAGCTCTTGACAAGAAAATCAAGTGGTGAGTCTTCCCTTCCGGGACACGCTCTTGTCAGTTCGTCAGAGAGACTCTGCATAGTACCGACTACATTCATGACGGCACTGGAACCAGGTTCGACCTGAAATTCCTTTGTGACCGCATCGGCTACCAAGATGTTGGGGTCCCCTGGCGAGCAATTCGGTACGAGCAGCTCAAACCCGAGCGAGGGTATCGTCAGGGACAAAGGAGAATCAATCGACGCAGTGAGCGACACGTCAAACGCCAATGCGCCACTTCCGCCAGGGATATCCAGGTCATAGACATTCAGCTTCGAGATTCTGACCTCAGGCAAAGCAGGGAAGTCTTTATCTATAGACAGTATCAGTGATTGAGAAACTCTCTGCCAATGATGAATAACAGCAGCGGGTAGACGGAACTAACCTTTGAATGTCACAGAGTCAGTCAATATTTGCTCACCCAAGCTAAGTAAACCAGACTTGAGATGAACAATGGCCTTTCCATTGACTCTGAGCTGACCAAGTTTCCCTTCAATCCAATCGTCCGCCACTGCACGAATACCGACGAGGTCGCCGGCGGCCAAATCTGTCAGAAAATCAAGGTTGTTTGTATGACCGTTTTGAACATTCACTTTGATGGAGGGCAGAGAGGCCGTGCCGGCGAGAATATTTCCATAGTCTGGAAGGTAGACCTGTACCTCCGACTGACCCGTTTCCACTTCCCTGCTGATCCAAGTGACCAACCGGCCTAGAGTCCGGACTGACCGCTTCTGAACACGTTCTGCATCCAAGACAAATTTCCCTTGAATTCTGGTTCGCACACCATCCTCAGTGGTCGAATTAATTGAAATATCCGTAGGTTTGAATACAGCGGCTTTTTTCGCATATTCCTTCACGACTGCTGGTGCCACATAAGCGAATACAAGGATGGAAATGACAGCCGTCAGCGTGACGAACGCGCAGAGAAATTGCCATCCTATCCTGCCACTTAAACGCTTGGAATACTTGTGCAAACTGGAGGTCTCAGACGCTGACGATAAAGCTGATGCTCTCCGAGGCGCTGTGCCGTACGCAACAATATCACCATCATCACGACGGACTAAGAGAGGCGTAGACTCTGACGACAACTCGAATGGTCGAATCGGTCGATCTGCGCGAGAGGATGAGCCATCCGTAGACGTTCCCTCGTTGAGCAGAGGTCTGCGTTCTTCGTCAGCCATAATGGCTGGAGGAGTGGGGAAGACAGCCGAATGTGGAGCAATAGAACGGATAATTTATTCAAGAGGACCTGTGGAGATAAAATAAAGAATAGATCTATACGAGTACTATAGAAGGATGCAATCTATAACAATAATAAGATCAAAGATGAGCAGGACAAGAATAAGTTGATGGATGGATAGGTAAGGTACCCCATACTTGAAGCATCGGATAGACTTAAGGTAGGTGATGATCAACGACGTAACCTGTAAGTAGGTAACACCGCCAACAGCCCAATAATAAACTGCTGAGAGGAGCGTCTCCAGTTGTGGAGGAGCTCAACCAACCAGTCCAATAGCTTAGCCAACTATCGCTATCAGCTATTTAATAATTGGTATGAGTCGATCCGATAATTGGATACACTAAATCACTTTTATTTTTGATTGAATCATCCCCAGTCAAGTAGACGAGGTATGCCTGTGTAATTGTTTGGATAATTTCTCTGAGTCATCCCTTAACTAACTTATATACCACCACATTTACAGCGTCGTTGGTTCTCTCAATTCCATATCTCAAATCTCATTCCCCCCATGGCTTGCGGTCTAAAACTGGCTGCCGCCCGATACGGCGCATTGAACGGCCAACACTTGCGTCAACGCGTCTCCCTCAATGGCTTGCGACGATATTCGTCCCAGACTACCCCTCCTACCTCTCCTTTCGCACCTCGCCATTTTCTCTCCATTGCCGATCTGACCCCTACCGAGTTCGCTACCCTCGTCCGCAATGCGTCTTCGTACAAACGCTCGATCAAATCGGGCTCCGTGCCTCAGAATCTCCTTGGAGCCCTGAACGGGAAGACCGTGGCCATGATGTTCAGTAAACGGAGTACCCGCACCAGGATTTCGACCGAGGGTGCCGTGGTGCAGATGGGAGGCCACCCGATGTTCCTGGGAAAGGATGACATTCAGTTGGGTGTTAATGAGTCCCTATACGACACGGCGGTGGTGGTCTCCTCAATGGTTTCTTGCATCGTGGCTCGCGTCGGCAAGCATGCTGAAGTTGCCGACCTCGCGAAGCACTCAACCGTCCCTGTGATCAACGCTCTCTGTGACTCATTTCACCCGCTGCAAGCCGTTGCCGATTTTCAGACCTTGCACGAAACGTTCACACCGAAGGCTCATGGCCTCTCCAGCCTGGGTCTGGAGGGCTTGAAGATCGCCTGGATCGGCGATGCGAATAACGTTTTGTTTGATATGGCCATTGCGGCAGCCAAGATGGGCATTGACCTGGCCGTTGCCACGCCCAAGGGCTACGAGATTCCTGCCCACATGCTGGAGATTATCCAAAGTGCCGGGGAAGGCGTTTTCAGGCCCGGAAAGCTTATCCAGACCAATGTTCCTGAGGAAGCTGTCAAGGACGCGGATGTTCTGGTCACGGACACTTGGGTATCCATGGGACAGGAAGCCGAATCAATCAAGCGGCTCAAAGACTTTGAAGGCTTCCAGATCACAGCCGATCTGGCCAAGCGTGGTGGTGCTAAGGAAGGGTGGAAATTTATGCACTGCTTGCCCCGTCACCCCGAGGAAGTGCACGATGAAGTCTTCTACAGCCAGCGGTCCCTAGTCTTTCCTGAAGCAGAGAACCGCTTGTGGGCTGCGATTTCTGCTATCGAGGCATTCGTTGTGAACAAGGGAAAAATCGTATGACAATCGAATAGATTCTATAGAAGAACCAAGCCGAAAATCAAATTAGCAACTTTGATCGAATACCATCCCGTCCCAGCTAGACTTGTGTGTAGAGTGCTATAATTCTTATGTCCTATGTTGGCACTGAATTGCTGTGTATCATCAGGTGGATTGTATATAGTGGAGATGTGGAGATTTACCCCAGGTTATGCTTCATCGATGGTATTCCCACGAGCATGTCACGAGATCGTACGGAGTACTGCCAGAACCCAAGAATATCGATCTACCAGGTTCAGGCCCTGCAATGATGCACTCTATCCGATCCAATCCTAGACCAAAAAGCCACTCGCAAGAGCGAAGGTCTGTCTGTCCTCGAGCCCACTTTCACATGCCGACAGTCATAGCTCGGGCGGAGAAGGGAGAGTCAGCGAATTCTTGCCGCACCTCCTCCTCGTCTACAGAGTACATCATCCCATATTTCATCAAGCTTGCAAGCTATTAAGAGCTCTTTAAGCGTATAATTCCTGTTCTCTTTCTTCCCAGAACCACTTCGTCAGTTTCTCAGCAGAAAATAGGAATGGATGTATGGGTCTCTCCTCCCATCTGTATTCCTTCTATCTACTCACTCAGCTCCACAGGGTTCTGCATCCCAAAGCGGGAGCGGATTTCGATCTCGCCGCTCATATCCCTCGCTAAATCATGTTTCGCTCGCACCATTAACAAATCGGTTCCCCATTGACGACGACATAGAGCCAGAGGACTATTTCTCACCGCGAGATGAGCGACCTGCCGACACCCCGACCCGGACATCCTATCTCTCAAGCTTTTCCGTCCCAGGGACCCCAGGCGTTCTCTCGTATTCCCGCAGCGGATCCCGAGTCCGTCTGCACTCCCGAAGCAAGAGCTCAAGTCGTATCCACCGCAGCGACAGCAGCCTGCAGAGCCAGGACGACGCACAACCCCTGCACCATCACCAACATGCACACGGATCCAAGAAGAAGACTCACACATCCTCGTCGCGGCATCAGCCCCCCGAGTCGGCCGGACGCCGCGATGCAGAATGGATGCTTCGAGCCGGGATCGCGCTCGCTTCGTCCACGCGAGAGGAAAAAGGCCAGAGCTGGCTCGTGAAGCGCGAGAGCTCGACCAGTCTTGTCTCGGAAGCAAATCACGATAGCCCAATTTTGGCCCGCCGATCGAGATCCGGGAGGTCTACGCCGGCCGCGCATTCGAGATGGGGATCCCGTGCGGCAAGTCGAAGGAACAGCAGACCCGATCTGGCCATGACGAGCCTCGATACGCTCGTCACTAGATCAGGGTCGAATGCTCACGACTCAGCCGGTCACGACGAGGAGACACGCCATTTCGTCCCTGACTTTGTGGATGAGCGTATCCGCGCGGAGATGGCATCCATCCAACAATTTGAGGACGGGTATGCCTCGGCCTCGGACGAGGAGTCTGACTCGGAGGACGAGATCGATGAGCAGGAACTGCAGCGTTTGACTCGGGAGCGAGGGTTCGGTCTGGGCAGTTGGATCGATCGGATGGTCGAGTGGACACTATTCGGTGTCGAGGATCTACCTCTTTCTGCAAATGTCCAGCCCGCCCAGCCAGCAAAGCATCCCGACGCATCTCCAGACGACAATGATGTCCGCGATGATCACTCTTCTGCGGCTGAATTGACCGACGACAATGCTAGCGTGTCGGCTGACGAATCTATAGCTTCGACCGTGGTAGAGAAACCAGGGGAGAACGGAGGCTGGGAGGATGCAGGGTGGTTCCTCCGTGTCATGAAGCGTGCACTATCATGAGTCTTAGAAAACGCGATCTCCACATTGTGCAATCTGTCATGCATTGCTTCCTTTCTCGACTCGAGCATCACTCATAATTCTCGAGAATATGACTACCAAACTTAGCTTCGAGCTAATCTGGAGTACACTCGTTTACTTTAACATTGATCCATGCTCGTCTAACTCATGGTCAACCAAGATTCTGCAGATTCATTCTGAATGAATACATGACTAATATTACAATCTGTCCACTGCCATTTTCCTTCTATTCCGTCTCACCCTCTAGAACCATTATTTAAGTTGCTTGTGTGCAAGGGGCCAGTCCGCATACCGACACGTAGCTGGACCACAACAAGTCTAGGGTGCCTCTGAATTTCCACAGTGCTGCGCGGCGACAATCTTTCTGCTGTTTAAAAAGCTATTCTAGACACAATTCCCAAACGACGCATTGTGAATGCGACTTGTTTCTTCAAAAACCGAGCATGCTAACCATGCACGGATTGAGAGCATCTGTATCTTTTACTTGATACATGGCCGGCCCATCTGGCACAATAATTCAGAATATGATCGAAGCCATTGCAATTGAAGATGACACCAAGCTTCAGCCACCAGTATGATCGGAAAGAGCGGGAAAAAGAATGGGCAAAGGGTATACAAGACAGGTAGCGGACATAGGGGAAATGATTGCCATCAAACGGCACAAAATCCAGGCTTAAGAAGGCGGCCGTAGCAGAATAGAAACAGAAATGAAGAAGGAAAAGTGAGCAAAATGAATGACGGGAAGGAAAAAGGCTTGTGATGATTCGTGTCGGAGGTGTTATGATGTAGCTTGACAGGCAATAAGACGCGATAACAGAAGTATTCCCTGTAGCCTTGTTCTCTCTCTCTAGGTAACGATAAAAAAGACGGCGAGCCTGGTTTTCGGAAATATGACACAATAAATAAAGCGCAGTGTCCCTTTGCAAACTGTAAACGTCAGGAGATCCTCAACTCTCTAATTCATGCAATAGGTATCGTGATCGTATCATATGTAGGCGTTTACGGTCGAGTAATCGGACAGTAGCCATCGAAAATAACGAGTAAAACCGCGACGCTGCCGCAAGGGTGTGTCGGACGAGCAAGACTGCGAGAAGTGCTTCTTTACCAGGGTCCAACTTTGACGGGAGTTCCCAAGCCATAAGTGCCGGAAAGTAACTGTTCCCTGACCGAGACAAGATCCCCACCAGTCGAACTTGAATAGCCTTGGGAGTCTGGGCCGTGCATCCAACCCAAGCTGTTACCAAGCTCGTTAACGGCAGCCTGAAGTCGACCGCCGGCATTCTGATTATGCTTCGCCAATTTCTGATCCCATCCACCATACTGTAGCTGAATTCCGCCACCACGCTTTGCCGCCTCTCGGATTACCAGAATCCATGCCTTGCAAATTTCATCATATGCAGAGTCCCGCTCTACGTTGTTCTGTGGTGAGTGCCATCGTGGCAGTGCGTGAATGATATCTGTAGCACCGTCCAGATAACTCAGAGACACGGACGCTTGAGTTTCATGTGGTGGCAAGAAATGCGGTGTGAAATCACTCAGAGCATCCAGTAGATTCCCCAGCGGCTGCCGGACACGGTTGTAGGCATAGTCCGACTCAGGATTGCCACCTAACGGAAATGAATTTTGTAGAGTCGATTGGTAATTGCGGAGAACCTGAAGAGCAGAGGAAACACTCGGGCGTGGTGATGTGTGAATCACTTCGTCAGCCAAAGCCGGGTGACGCTCGCACATTGACCGTAATATTCCCCTCAAGGCATCTGTATCAAGGGTTTCGAGCAGTCGAGGGAGGGAGAGTGGTCTGCCAGAGACGTTGGGGCGGGACCGTTTGAAGGAGCGAGGAGCCGGAAGAGATCGAGGAGTGAAGGCGGGGGAGTTGGTGGGAGAAGCTGACATCCGTCCATCGTGATCATTGCCATCATCATCGGCTTTCCGTTTACGGTTGGTGGGCGTATGAGTAGGGGTAGACACTGGGATAGTCGTCAGCTCCAATATCGAGCCTGTAAACCCCGAAAGTCACTTACTTGGATGTGGAGAGGAGAGACGAGAATACTCGTAGAAGTGTGGAGGCACAGGTGGTGTAGCCACCAAGCTGTTCATGATGGGTCACAAACAGTTGATGGCAAAGAAGTACCGATATCTCAGTGGCGGAGGGAAACGAGTATTTCGAGCACAAGAAAGCAGGAGGGCGGGAAAGAGGGATAGATCAAGGGAAAGACAAGATTTCAAATACAAAGAAAAAGATGGAGAATTAGAGAAAAGAGAGAAGAAGAGAGAGAGGATGTAAGGACGAGTTGAGTTGAGGTGAGGTGAGGTGAGTGGTGGGGAAGGGCGAAAGAAAGAAAAGCGGTGGACTTGCACTTTGCAGGCGGTTGCGGGAGGCAACGCAGGCCGACTGCGCAGGTTTCTGGTCCATGACACCATCCATGGTCATTACAATTGAAGATTCAGGGGAGGAGGTTTCATTTCTACAATTATATATGATGGATGGAAGCTTGAGAACATGTCTACAAAATCATACAAACGTATATCGTTCATTCGAGTAGACAGAATCAAACAATGAAATCCTTCTTTTCATTTCCGACGCCAGGGAAATGCGAGACCTCCAAAACGACTGTGACCATACGACACATACATGCTCCCTCGCAGAGGTCATAGGAAGTATAAAAAAAAGAAAATGATATTTACAAGTACAGGGACTGTGCGGCCACAATGTCCCTGCGCACCTTAGTCAGAGCTTCCTCGAATTTGCTCTCGAGTTCCTCGTTACCCATAACCTTGGAGGCTTGCGCCATCTGACGGAGACACTCCTCCAATCGACGGAAGACCCGGATCAAAGATCCTTCATAAACATCGGTCATTCCACTAGTGAGACAGGCAAGTTAGTTTTCGAAGTAGACTTTTGACTCAAGAGTGCCGACAAATAGACGACTTACCAAATATCAGCAAAGGATTTGCCGTTCGCCCATTCGTAGATGACCTCCATAAGTTCCCAGTGGAAACTGTTTACGTATTCCTCCTCGTTGACAGCCAGCTTGGATTCTTGAGAGACTTTGGCAACTATCCGGGCCTGCGCTTGGATTTCCTTTAGGGGCTTCGCCAGCTCGTCCCGCGTCAGAGCAGGAGTTTCCTTGGACTTCTCCTCAAAAACGAATACACTCAATACAGCAGCGATCTGTTCCGGAGTAAGCTTGTTGAAGAAACCGTTGAAAAGAAGCTCGCTGAGCATGAGCTCGTCTCCCGTGCTGATCTCGCAGGCGACTCGTGCCTTCAACTGCACGACTTCGGCCTCGTTGATGAAACCGAACCGACGAAGTACACGCTTACGGCACTTGAGCTCATCAAGCTGCATGATGGACATGGCCTCGGAAATCTTCTTCTTCGTCTCCTTAATCTTCGTTCCCAACTCCACCTTCTCGGAATATTGCTCGTAAAGTTCTGGTAGGCGGGGTGAGTTGTGCAGTGGGTTGGAAAGCAAACGAGACTCGAGGACCTCCACTTTCTGTGATGATAGTCAGTAATGCACACAATACAAAATAAATGCAGAAGAAGAAATAAGTTCTTACCCTGAGTAGTTTCTTGAAACTTTCGTCCTTGATATTCATATCCTCAATCGGGTCAAGTGTAGCAATGCCATCAGGGAACCGCTTATGGATCTCAGCAAGAGATTTCTTGACTCCGTTTTTCGCCTCTTTTGGGTTCAGGTCCTTTGGAAGCTTCATGCGTACATGCGAGATGGCACGGATGCATTCGGTAAGGACTGGAACAACCTCCATCCGAGAGTTGTCCCCTTCTTTCACTGGCCTGACTCCCGACGGTAACTCCTCAAATGTCTTTGTGGCCACAGACGGGCCTTCGGCAATATTGAGCAGAACATCGACGACATATCTCTTGTCACGAGGAATCTCCTCCGTTGAATTCTTTGGTGGCCTCCGTTGTTTGTAATTGACAACCACACCCCATCCAAAGTCTTTGTCTTTGTGTTTGATGTGCACTAAACGACCCGGAGACATAAAGGTCAAAGAATAATCTGGGTGGCTGATGACTGCTTGTATATCATCTGCAAACTTGTCGAGCTGCGTCCTTAGTTCGTAGTATTCGCGAATGGTGCCTTCGTCAGAAATGGACATGTTGGCCCTCTTCTCTTCAAATTCCTGGAGTTCTGCAATGGGGTTAGCACAAATATCCTCCTCCCAGTTATCAAGTGATTAGGCATACGTTTCTCAAGGTCGGCAACGCCGGCCGTGTTTTGGAATTGGTAGAAACATCTCTCGAGCATGAACTCGGGCGAGATGCCTTCCACACGCATCAGGTTCAGTATCATATTGTAACCCAAATGGAAAGCTGAGTTGAGCCTATCCTGCTCTCCTCGCACAATCTCCTTCGCCACCGCAGGATCCATCTCTTCGCCAACCATCATGATCACGATACCGCGGTCATCAAGACCTCTTCGACCAGCTCGCCCAGACATCTGGACGAATTCGGACGGCGTTACCCAGCGTTGGCTAAAACCGTCAAATTTCCGGACGCTCGTGAAAACCACAGTCTTCGCAGGCATGTTCAGACCGATGGAGAATGTTTCCGTCGCGAACAGCACCTTGATAAGTCCTTCTTGGAAGAGAATCTCAATGGTTTCTTTGAGAATAGGAAGCAACCCAGAATGATGGACACCGATACCTCTCCGAAGCAGAGGTAGAATGTTCTGAATTTGAGGCAGGTTCCTGTCTTCTTCGGAAAGCATCTCGATAGCGCTGTTGAAGACCTTGGATACCATTTCCTTCTCCGAATCATCATTGAAAGCCAAAGTACTCATCTTGAGAGCGCACGCCTCGCATTCACGTTTGCTGAAACTGAAGACAATGACGGGGTTGAGGTTCTTCAGCATGATCATTTTCACAATCTTGTAAATGTCGCTCGGGCCCTCATTTCCGCCCTTATTCAACCTCTTGTCTTTACCCTTTCCCTTCCTCTTGGCCATAGCGTCGGACGGGTCATCTCCCTTCTTGTCTGCGATGCTGCCCATTGCTTTTTGGAAGTTCTCTTCCCGGAACGCTCCCTTTTCGTCGACGACGAGGAAGATCCCCTCGCCTCCCGCGGGGAAGAAGTAGTGTTGTAGAGGAGTAGGTCTGAAATCAGTATATACGACGTGACAGGGTTGGTTGTGCATCTTGACGATCCATTCGGCGAACTGCATAGCATTGGGAATTGTCGCCGACAAGAATACATATCTGACCTTGTCCGGTAACAAAATGATGGTCTCTTCCCAAACCACACCTCGAACTGCCATAGCTGTCAGTAGCTTCTAAGGGCCAGCAGTACTCCCGATGACTTACTGGCATCACGCATGTAATGAATCTCGTCAAAAATGACCCATGCAACTTCGCGCATAATTTCCGAGCCGCGATACAACATGGACCGGAGAATCTAGGCGCGTGCGTCAGCAAAAACATCCATGTTGCGCTTGAAGAGTCATGGAGGCCTACCTCTGTTGTCATGACCAGACAGGTCGCTGTTGGGTTGATAGTGACATCTCCCGTCATCAAACCAACATCACCAAATTCTGCCGCAAACTCTCGGTATTTCTGGTTACTTAAAGCCTTGATAGGACTTGTGTAGATGACTCTTTGGTTGTTCTTCAAACTTTGCGCGATGGCGTACTCCGCAACTACAGTCTTACCGGCACTGGTATGAGCCGAGACCAGAACACTTTCCTCTCTCTGTATGGATGCAACGGCGACTTGCTGGAACGGATCGAGCGTGAACGGCCATACCCTCGCAGGGTTCTCAGGCGGCTTGTGTTGCGAGATTGGTACGTATGGATAGTTGGGCGGAATGGCGACTTGATGCCGAACCTGGTGCGACAACTTAACCGAAGTTGTTTCCTTTGCGGCTTGTAGACCTGCAGATGCTGCAACCTCGCGCTCCTGCGCCGTCTCGAATTCGTCTGCTAGTACAGGCTGCGGTTCCTTCTCCAGTCGCGGACGTTTCGCATCGGGTTGTTGCTCGTTGTTCTCGGTCGCAGGCGCTTCAGCCTGTTCCCCATCCGCGAGTTCACCAGCAGTTGCATCGGGAATCTCGATATCCTCCTTGCTCTCTGTCGCTGCGCCATTTTCCTTCACATCGCCATTTACCTGACGCTTCTTGCTCTTGTCCTTCTTGGGTCGCTTGGGTGCGCCATCGGTGACCTTCGCTGCCGCTTGCGGCTGGTCTTCGAAAACATCAAAGAGTTCATCCATGATCCGACAAACTCCAGAATCAGCCACAGATGGCAGAGACTAAGGCCAAGTTGAGCCGAGACGTCTGTCGTTTCTCTGCGATCGACCCAGAAATTTCAATGTTCCTTCTGAGGAAGGCGGCGTGTGATTGGGCAGAAACGGTTTTTTTGAGAAAACTGTTATCACCGCCGGCAAAACCTGCTACTTCGGTGCAATAAAATCACGTGATTGCGGTCCCGGGGAGCCGCCGAAGCTGTATCGTTCCACTCCTTCTCTTCCCTTCCGGATGGTCGATTATCGGGTTACTTCGACGGTATCGTGTCTCCTGCTTCCCTCAAGGTGCGTAATTGTTACTTTTTGACTACCTCTACTTTCAATTGGTTCTGACTAGTATGTTCAAGATGAACGCCGCTTCTGCTCTCCGCGCCAGAATGGCCACTTCCTTCGTCGCCCGTCGTGGCTTTTCCACCACCCGGGCCCAGCTCGGCAGTCCGTACCACTACGCTGAGGGCCCTCGCTCCAACATTCCCTTCAACCCTCTGACCAAGTACTTCTTCTGGAGATACTGGGCTTTCATGAGTTCGTACTCCCAATTGAATGTCCGAGATGCAGGCAATGAATCACGCTGACTTCTGAATGTAGTCACCGGTTTCGGTGCTCCCTTCGCCATTGCTGGTACGTCCTCAGTAGCCGAACGCAGGATCATATATTCTAACAGTGCTCCTATACAGTTTGGCAAACCTACAAGACCCGTTAAGAAGCTCGCTTACGCTGAAAGTTCTCGCGCCTCGGCATCCTTGGGCATTGGGAAATGGCGGGAAATGTATCCTATACTTGAAGCATTCGGTATTATGTACAAAGTTTACAATTCAGTGGTCGAGGCAG